TGGCTAAAACTCACAATGTCCTTGGGCCTCTTAGCAACATACTCCATTCCACAGGTCAAAAATGTCGAAAATATTTGGGAGCTTTTATCTAATTCTTTTTATTTATTATTTTTTTTAATTTTATTTTATGTATACAAGTGTATTGTAAGTGCTTCTGTGTTGTGAAATGCTGCGGAAGTCAGAAGAGGGCTTCAGATTCCCCTGGAACTGTCGTTAAGGACAGTTGGTAGCCCCCATTTGGGTGCTGGGAATAGAATCTGGGTCCTCTGCAAGAGCAGTCAGTCTCTTAATGCTGAGCCATCTCTCCAGCCCCTTTTATCTAATTCTTAAAAGATTTTAAGGGTTACCTCTTCAGAGGGGGGGAATGTTAGAGTAGCCAAAAGCCTCATTAAAAAATAAATAAATCAAAGAAGAAGAAAGAGTACATGAAGTTATCAGAAAAAAAGTGATGGGGAGCTATGGAAGGAGTTGGAGGGGAGGGAGAGTGGGCATGGGTTTGATCAAAACATCTTATATGCATGTATGAAATTCTCAATAAATTATTTATTTTTAAAAAATGCTAATACAGACATTTTATGTGCCCAGTGGTTAATGCAAGTTAACATTTGCCACATGTTCAGTCGCTAATACATATTTGAACAATTCTACTCTCTCATCGTCCACCTGTACCTTTCTCACTCTAGGTTAACATCAAGTGTTTCAAGTAAATTTGTTCAAATGATTCCAGTAAATTTCCTCAATTACCCTGAAAAATATGCAAGGATGAGTGAACCAGAACAGACCGGCTAGATTCCTCTGGGGCGTGGTCTGAGACCCCCGCTCCGGTTGTGGGCGGGCGGTGTGAAGGGCTCTGCTGCTGGCAGGTGTCGCTGCAGATAGAGCGTCGCCAGCGGAGCTCAGATTTGCTAGCTGTGTTGGTGTGTAGCTGCGGCCCTGAGCCAGGATGGAAAGGCTGGTGAGCCGGGCTGGGGATGCCAAGAAGGGCGCAGGGTGGGCGATGTGGAGCGGGTGGCCCTGCAGGACCGCGGAGCCGCTCTGGCCCGCTGGGGTGCGGTGGGTCGTTGCCTGCGCTTTCTTCTCTGCCCTTGATCCTGCTGGTAATAGGATCTTGCAGTTCTGGCGTCGTAGTCCCTGGTCCCGGTTCCTTGGAGAAAGGGTCCTCCCGGGCTCCGGAGACGCTGCCAACCCCGGGAATGTAGGATCGGGAGGCGTCGCAGGAACGCCGGGCCTTCGGCTGTTCGGCTCCTGCCTGAAGCTTCCACGGCCGGAGGCATCGGGGCGGGGGAACGGCCTGGGTTCCATTGCTCCCAGAGCACTGGGCGTCCTCGATGTTGGCCCTCATCCTGCAGTAGGGATGCAGCCTCGCTCCTCCAGCCTCTAGCTGCATCCTCAGTCCTTGCCTTGGAAGCCATTGAAGCATCCAATAGGGCTGCAGCAACCTTCCGAGAGGATTGCGAGCTCCGTGGTCGCTTTAAAAGCCAGGACATCCAGCGAGACGACATTTTGAGTATTCGGGACTGTTTACATGACAAGAATAAAAATAGGGTGTTCATATGCCCTCTTTGTTCATATGGACGAAATGGGTAGAATTAGGTAAAAATCTAAGTGCAATTATAACCTCGAGGTACTATTTTTCATCGGACTGGCAGGACCACACAGCCAGTTACTGTGTTACCTTTCTTAACAAAGGAGAATGGTGGTCTGTGAGCTAGTGGCTCCTGCCGAGTGGATGCTCTGTGTCATGGTGGCTCCTCCAACAAGGAGGCAGGCTCCTTTCACAGGAAGGCAGGCTCCTTTTCCTAGGTTCCTGTGGCTACAATGGGATGAGATATGAATTTGGACCTAAAAACAAACAGGGAAGGAGATCCCTTTGCCTGTCAGGTGGGCAGTTGTCAGGCAAGACCCAGGTTGTTGTGCACCTCGGCTTTCTTGGTGAGAATTATAGTTGTATTTCTTTGTCTTCAAGGCTGGACTCCCTAGTTAAGTTTTGATTGATAATCTTTTAGCATTTGTTAAATCCTGGGCTCTGTACTAAGCGTTTTAAGTGCTCAGTTGTCACCATATTCTTATGAGATGACAGCAGCTTTGGTTTAGTGTGTATTTGCGGGAGGCACAAGTTTTATCCATCTAGGTTTTTTTTTTTTTTTTTTTTTTTTCCATCATTTAGAATGCTTAGGAGCAGAAGGACTTCAGATTTCGATTTTTTTTGGGGGGGATATGTGCAAATACATATTGAATGAGATCTCTTGGGAGTGGGACCTGAGACTATACAGAAAATTCACTCCATGTTTCATGTAGACCTTATACACCGAGCCTGAGGTTATAGTATCATGAATACATAGTTTCTCTGTGACTACATACATCCTATGATGTCAGGTGTGGAATTTTCCATGGTGATATCATGTCAGCCCTCAAAAGTTTTAGATTTTATAGCATTATGACTTTCGGGTTTCCCACTAATGCTTCATTTAACCCTGAGGTTAATACTGCTATTCTAGTTGTGGTTCCAGAGAGGTTAATTTGTCTTACCTAATACATCTAGGATTCATTTTAGGCCACAGTCTGGTCTGGTTACCATTCAAATTGCCTGCCTGAAAAACAGAAAGCCTGCCACCACCACACTGTTAGTATTTTCAGTTACTCTGCATAAACCAGAGGAGAATAATGTGTGACATAAACAATATGTATATTTTTAACAGCAAGGCTTTTGTCTAGACTCCCTTTATTTCAATCTCTGTGTTTTTGATTTTCAACATCTCTGGCTCCCAGTCCATGATTCTCTAGTCCTAAAAACAGATTCTTCACTGCAAAAGATAGTCCTGTTCTGCATTTCCTTATCACAATCTCTGCTAGGACCTGGATTTCATTACGAAAGAAAGACATGATGGTAAAAATAAATAAATAATGATGTGGAATTAGTATGCCATTATCTGTCCTCACAACTTTCTTAGCTGACTATAAAATAAAATATTTTGACCCCTTACTGCAGAGCCAGAGGAAATGCTTGGCTAGATTTTTTCGACTTTCCTACACAATAAGAAAGGATGGGAGCAGTCTCAGTAATACTGAGAAAAATTTCCAGAAGTCCCTGGAGTACTTCAAGGCTAAAGCTCTTTTGGATGTCATATCTATGTGGATGAGAAGGGAGGATATGGTGAGAAGGTATTGTGTAGGCTTGATCTTTTCAGATAGTGCATCATTTTTTTTTACCTTCCTAAGGAATGGTGACTTCATTAGAGCCTTAGAACAATGAAGTCAAGAGAATTCACAAGATGGGCATGACATACTCATGGTATACCTGGGTTTCCCATAACAAAATATCTGTGCAAACAATAATTTATACTAAGACTCCCTCAGATGACAGAATTGTTAATATCATGTAGCCTGAAGAATGTAAAGAAAAAACAAATTGTCACATAGGTCAGTATCAGTACATACCTTGATGGCACTCCATGGCATCTAGCAGAAAGTCTAAGTAAGTGGAGCTCCTGGGTGAAAAAAGGAAGACACTCAGGTATGGGTTGGCAGTGGAGATGGCCACAGGGACAAGATGTCATCTCTTCCAGGACGTACATTCTGCAAGATCACAAGGAACACCAGGACAGGGCCTGATGGAGGCTCTGTGTCTCTGGCAGCTTCAGTGGCCTTTGGCAGAGCCAAGTCTTCTCCCTCACTGTGGTGGCTTTGGTATACTCTCCCTCACATTCACTCTACAACCTGCAAGGTACAGTTGAGCCAGGAGAGCTAGATGTACCTTGTTCTGATCATTTGTGATCCCAGATTGACAACTGGACTTCTGTCCTTATAGCTTTACACTAAAAAAAAAAAAAAAAGACCAAAGTTGACATTTACAAGTTAATTTTCTGCCTCTACCTACAAAGGCACTTGGTTAGGAAAAGGCAAATTTTTACAACGAAATTAATGTTTATGAAACACCAGGTATCTTGAATGGTGTGTCAGTTCTTTAGCAACATTTCTTCCATTAAGTTTTAGGTCATGGCTATTTCCTGTGAAAATATATATGAACCAAATGGGACATCCACAGAGTGAGAAGGAAGGAGGACATTAAAATTGGAGTGCTCCCACTGGGCGGGGAAGGAAAGAGAAATTCTTGTAGCAGATCAAAATGATGTTCAGATCTTTAAACTAAGTTTCCTAGGACTGGGTGTGGTCATAAACACACTTGTAATCCCAGGACTCAGGAAACAGGCAGGAGGATTAGGAGGTGTTCTACACTATCTATGGCTACATAGCAAGTTAAAGTCTAGCCTAGGCTAGCCCACCAAATCTTTCTTTAAAAGAAGACTCTACTCTGTTCCCCTACCCTCTGATCCTAAGCCCACTAGAAGATGGTTGTTCATAAAAGGCAGTAGAAATTGCAGCACAATTAGGGTGATCGACTTTAGAGTGTTGGGGAAAATAAACTTGAGCAGAGAAGTCGTCAGACCCAAAAGGAATGTCAAAAACAGAGCTTATTAAGGCACACCATGAGAATGAGTTGACAAAAGTCTCTTAGAGGAACATAGGCTCTTTGACAGCCATCCTGGCCATTTAAGTGGTTATGATCCAACGGTTTAGAAATAAACTTCAAGTCACAGTAGTAGCAGTAGCTGGGACTAAACAGGGACTGACTACAACATGTACATTCAGAACAGGATGCCTGTACTTGATTTGCTATGGCAAGAGGCTGGAGCAAGAATATGTTGTTAAGGTATCCTGTTAAAAGAACTGGATTTGGTGGATAGTGAATGAAGTTCTTGTAGGGTCAAGAGGGGAACAAAAGTCAAGAGACTGCCTCTGCCTCAACAGCCAGTGTCCCAACACCAAGAATTCAAAATTATCTGAAAATAGTGCTTTCAAAATTGGGAGATGACTCTATATTAGATATTCTGAATGTACAAGGAAGGAACAACAGAATGGTAGCCTGGGGAGCAGTGGAGGGCTGTGCTACATGGGCAATCAGTGTGCTGGGGACAGAGTCTCAGGATCTGGGACATACGGTGGACTATACTTAGGAAGAAATCCGCTCTTGTGGCAGAAAGAAAACTGTTGTGTTTGGATAAGACAAAGGAAAATGGTAGGATGATGAAATAAGGGAGGTAGGACCTCTTGGGCCCTCAGGGAAGGGGTTCTAATCTGGATCACTAGCCGTTCTAAAGACCTAAGCAAGAAGCACTTCAGAAGAACAAGATCACTGGGCCTCAAATTCAAAGCTATGAGAACTGAGACCTAACTAAAAGTCAGTGGAAGGCAGTGCAGACAGGGGTGTAGTTCATCCGAAAATGCCATGGTGGGAAACTGTTATGATTAGGAGACAAGGCTGGCAGTGTGGAAGAGAGCCACAGGAAAGCTGTGGGAGACAAATTTGCAGGAATGGAAATATTAGGTTGAATACCTTGAACTACTTTCTCTAAACAGTAAGAGGCTATAGAAAGTTTTAAGAGAGTGACAACTCATGCAAAGATGAATTTAAAGGAAATCAATCCGATAACATGTAAATATGTGAGCTGAAGTAATAGAGTGGGCAGCTCTATCTACTTCATCTATCATGGTCTCCAAAGTACCTATGATAGTGTCTAACACAGACAAGACTCAACAGAGATCATTAAAGACAGAGGAAAGTTCAATTAGACATATATGAAGGTGTCACAGTGAAAGCTATTCTCACAATCAGTGTATGCTAACAAAAAATAAATAAAAAATCAGCTGGGTGTGGTGGTGCACGCCTTTAATCCCAGCACTCGGGAGGCAGAGGCAGGCGAGGCAGGAGGATCTCTGTGAATTCAAGGCCAACCTGGTCTACATAGTGAGTTCTAGGACAGCTGGGGCTACAGGGAAAAAAAAAAAAAAAAAAAAAAAAAAAAAAAAAAAAAAGAATAAAAAATCAGTTCAGTTTTATGCCATAAGCTGAGACCAAGGTAGTGATAAGAGGAACAGGGACTTCACATGGGAGAATTTATTGTGCAGAGTGACTAATTAAATGTCTGGGAAGGGGAGAATATAAAGCCCAGGAAGATGCACCTGCCTGGGAGATAAAGGTCCAGAAGAGAAGCTTCTTTGGGTGAAATGATGATGAATTTGGTGCCATTCATTAAGTTATTAATCCATTCCATTCTTTTATTCATTCCACTGGGAACATTTTAGGCAGAAAGAAGACATAAAGGAACTGAAACACAAGAGAACTTGATGATTTAAGGAACTGAAATCTTGGTGAAGTAGAGCTTTGTTTGTAGGAAGGAGACAAGAATATGAAGCCTGGCAACATGTTTGTAGGTGTTAAGCTGCAGGTAGTAGGAAACAAGCACCTAGGACTCCTGTGGGAGATGCTTTTTGACTGGTCGAACTTCTAGGCAGTTACCCAGTGGCTCTAAGAGGTTGCTTGGCTCTGTGGAAACTTCATTAACTGCTTCTCAGATACTAGTTTCAAAGGTAAATTGAACATATTATTCCAGAGCAATGAAGCAGGGCCTGTTGTTTGAGCAAGAGCATCACAGTCCTGTGCAATAATGACTTGGTGATATACACTATCACATAATGTATTTGTATCTAAATTTTAAAACTAACAATGTTTTGTACACAAGGAAGGCAATATGATGCTGTGGTTAGCCTTATGAACTCTGAAGCCAGTCTGCCCAAGTTTGAGTCTTGGCTCTACCATTTCCTAGCTGTGGTCCCTTAGGAAAGGTGTTTAGTTTCTATACTACACCTTCCTCATTGTGCAGGTGGTGATAATAGCAGTGCCTTCTTTGTAGGTTTATGAAGCATTGACTGAAATACTTGCTCTCAAGTGCTAAGAACAGTGTCGAGGACGGGGTGGGGCTAGAGAGATGGCTCAGTGGCTAAGAGCACTGACTGCTCTTGCAGAGGACCAGGGTTCAGTTCCCAGCACCCACATGGCAGCTAACAACCATCTGTAACTCCAGTTCCAGGGAATCTGATGTCCTCCTCCGACCTCCATGGGCATTTCATGACACAAGTGCACTTATACACATGCAGGCAATATACTCATAGACATAAAATAAAAATAATAAATAAAATATTATAAAAAGAACAGTGTCTGGTACATAATGGATGCATTAAATGTTACTATAGTATCTTTAGTGGTTTAGCCACCTTGTGCAAAATAAAAGCTGGAGTAGTTATTTTGATACAGTACTTCCATGTGTTTATTCCAGTCATTTATTTTTGCCCTTTCGTCTTTCAAACCAGACAACCATGCACCTACTGCTTTAGAGGAAGAACACTGCGACAGGCAGAAAAGATGTTTCAGTAACCAAAGTTGCATAAAAACAAGAGCCTAGTCATTCAAATAATTTCAAAACCCTAAGTGCTGAAAGATCAGGGAACAGTTCATTCCGGAAAGACTTGATGAGAAGCTACAGGGTGTGGAAGAGTCCGCTTTTTCTGACCCTGGGGGAGAAAAGTGTTTTCCAGGCTGAGAGAAGGGAGGGACTGACTGATGTCCATCGCCAGACACCAACTTGAATGATGAAAAGACATATTGTACTCCAGCAGTAGAGAATGAAAAACAGAGCCAATACGTAGGCATTGAGATCCAAGAGAAGACAGGGTACAGTGTAACCGAGTGCCATGGGCACTTAGAGAGAGCACTGAAGAATTTCACTTCTTCTAGTACAAGGAGAACCTGGGCTTGTAGGTTATAAGGGCTCAAGAGAACTGCAGTTCACCTTGGAAGCTGTAGTTCCACAAAGGAAGGCCTCGGTAACTGAGGGAACACAGTTACCTTAGTGGACACCATGTAGATGGATGGTTCTAATGAATGACCAGTAGCCCCCTGCCATGGCTAGCCATGATGGAAGGCCCTGGTGTGCAGAGATAATGTCACAGATGAGGATCATCATAGAGTGTCAGGATGGGGGAGGCCCAATGGACGGAGATGGTGCAACATTTATTGAAATGAAGCTTCTACTGCCAGTTGGAATGGCCACATGAAATGAGACCAAGTTCAGTTAATGAAAAGTACAGAGAAAACTGACATGTCTTACATACCTTTAGTACAGAAATGGAGCTTGTGAGATGGGTCAGTGGGTCAAAACACGTGCTCCACCAGTCAAACGACCTTACAATCTCCAGAACTCACACAAAGGTGAAGGAAACCGACTGCACAAAGTTGTCCTTTCACCTCCACATGCACACTACAGCATGTACCCCCCACCCATTCCATGCATACATACACACAGTAATAATAAGTGAATTAAAACCTCTAGAGATATAGGCAGATGTTACAACTCCTTAGCAAGAGCATACTGTAGGCCAAGTCCAAAGATCCTGGGGCAGCTGTAGAGGAGAGTTCATCTGAACATTCTGCTTTCCCATGTCACAGCAAAGCAATTCCTAGAATAATATTTCCTTAAAATAGCACCATGATACCCAAAAGAGACTGAGGATTCCTGTTCAAATACAGGAAAATAAAGCAATGAAAGAAAAACCAAGTTAATGTCAGCACTAATTTCTAAAATGGCCAATTTATAGAAAATTGGCTACAGCTGCAGAGAATCTGCCTCAGCAATGCTCAAGGCAGTCACCTGTCTCTGAAAAGTGTTTCTTCTGGTGTTTTGATCTTAGTATTAACAGTGGATGATTATTTGGGAAGTGCGGGGGGGGGGGCTGTTTAACATCTGTATTTTCTGCATTTTCTCTCTTAAATAGTTTTTCCCAAGGATCTTATGTGTTTGAGACCTTGTTCTTAACAATGGTGACTTTAGAAACAAAACTTCAACTTGCCAGGCCATGGAAGAACCACACTGTGGCTTTTCCTGCCCCACATCCTGAGTGCTCTGTTATTTCTTCCATTTATAGCCTCTGGCTCTGTTTCTACAAAACTGAAATTCTCTAGTGGACAAACACTTAACTCTAACCTTCTGTGAACTAGGTATTAGACAGATGCTTCCTTGGCTCTGTCCAAATGCAACCCCCCATTTCTGCCCTTTGCTTTCTATCTTCAGGTATTCAGGAGGCCCTTCTGCCACCTCTCCACCTACAGCCTGATTTGGGGCATGGCAGCAGTAGCGCTGGGCACAGCACAAGGTAAAAATGCTCAGTCCTTTACCGGGAAACCAACTGTGGGCCTCTGGGGTGGAGGCTGGCCACTCCTGTCAGTGTGAGAATTACTGTCTCTGCATGAATTACTGACGCATGTCATTTGCTTAGAAGAGTGGGAACAGCTCTCTCCACTTTCCACACTTTTGTTTTCAAAGTAGTGGGACAATTTGAATTTTGGGAGCTATTCCAATAGATAAACTAGATTTAAGAAACTATCCTCTCACATAAAATGTCATTTTTCATCCATGGAATTAAAAACAAAAAAAGAAGGACATGGGAATAGAAATTTCTAGGGAAGCAGGAACGAATATGTAGTCTTTTTGGAGGAAAATCTGGCAGTAAGCCTTAAAATTGAGTTTGCCCACTTTTACTAAAAATAAAATGTAGAAAAATGACATAGAAAGGTACGTGAGCTTACATTGTCTCCTGTGTGAAAATGTATTATGCCTTCTTCTTATCTGAATTCCCTAGTCTTTCCTACTGTTTCAAGGGAGGTTACCATTCACTTTTTGCTGTATTTTTTCTCTAGTCACTTGTGTGTGATGTTTAACTTTAGCCTCCACAGGGGAGGGCACTGCTGGTAGAGCAACAGGTGGGCTCCAGGTCTAGCCACAGCCCTGGCCCACAGCAACCACCACAGGGTTTACCACCTGACTAGCAAAATCAAAACAGAGTCTATGCACACTCCAAAGAACTGTAAACTTTTCACTAACGGAGTTTGTCTGTAGTCAAAGACAATCACAATTTATCCATTAGTTTAACACTAGTTTCCATTTCTTTTCCACTAGCCATTATAAAAGTAAGTTTCTTCAAATTTCTGCTCTATAAAACTCAGCAAGTTTTCAGGAAACTTCAATCTGAAAAATGTGGGTCTGCTTTCTAGAACTTTCCTCATCTTCCAAGAGTTCCCATCATTAGGGGGTCTAGGGTGTATCTGCTGCTGTGCCCCTCTTTTCATCTTGCTGGGAGTTGTGGTGCAGTCTTCTTTTTTCTGTTTATACTCACCAACATTTAACTATTGTGTTAACTTTAAAGAACAAATTTTGGTGTTTCTGTTCAAGTTTACATTTTGTCTATCATTTCATCAACATTCTTCTTTAATTCACTCCTATTGTCTGGTGAACAGAGTAGGAGGTTTAGAAATAAGCATGAGCTCACTTTTCAGTCTGGTTCTTAGTAGATGTAATTAGTATTAAGTTTGTCCATTGAAGAAATGCTTTATCAGTTTCTACAGATTCTTAGCATATTATTCTCTGGTTTTCATTTAATTGTGACAATTTATGGTTCCTGCTACCGATTCCAGTATAACTAGAGTTAAAAAGCGATGTACAAATTTATGGTGTTATTCCACTGTAGGCAGTGTTCAGGACAAAAGGGAACAAATTTTGAGGCCAATTTCAAGTTTAATTTGGGGGAATATTTTGTATTTTGAAAAGACTATTCATTCTCTCATTTAGTAATATACATATATCTGAATTATATATACATAAAAATATATCATGTATATATAAATATGCAACATGTTTGAACTAAATACGGAAAACACAAATAAGAGTATTTGTTTAAAATTTTTCTATATCATCATACTTGAATTTTTGCCTTGATGATTTACATAATAGAATTGAAGATTCTGTAAGATGTAGGAAAACCTCTGATATAATGATTGTGGACTTAAAGATCTTATTTGAAATTTTAGTAGTTTTTCTTTATATATTTGGGGTAGGCTGTCAGGTGCATGAAGATTCATCATGAATATGTGTCACATTGGCTTGCTCTTTTCATCATTTTTAAAAATTATTTTTCTCCCTTACAGTTCTTTTGTTTTTCCCTACACAAAGCGCTATTGGGCTGATGCTGAAGCATTTAAGTGTACTTGTTGAATTTTCTTTAGTCCCTTGCATTTACGTACCCATTGGTGTTACATTCTGAGAGAATGCTGCAGCCTGGCCTTCCTGCCTACTAATTTACCACCCAGTGGTGTCCATTCTGCTCAGTTGGATGGTGTGTTGAGCTTGTATATTTCCTGTCTTCTTATTTCACTTAGGTCATCACTTCTAATCATGTCATTTGTTTATTGATTTGTGATGCTGTATTCAGCCAATATAAGATCCTGATATTGTAGCACATTTTTCCTCCCTTTTTTGTTACTTTCATCAATTGTTCGGCTATTTGCTCATTTATAGATGCTTCCCATTATGTCATCTATCGCAGTATAAGTGGCCAACATCGCAGAGAAGAATTACTGCCATAGCATCTAATGAAAATAAAGTGTGTGTAGATAATCATTCGGGTGTCAAAACTTCAAGATCATTCCAGGCACTGTGAGCCTTCCAGAGCATTGTCCTGTGTGTTGGTCTCCTTGTGTGCCTATGCTTGCTCTTGCTCCCCAGAGCCAGACACTTCTGTTATACTCCCCCCTTTGTGTGTGTCTTTGTGTATGTGTTTGTGTGTGTGCATTGTTGATCCATCGTCTTTACATAAACCAGTCATTCTGCGTGTTGTTCTTTCAGCCGTGTCTTATTCCTGGTTCATACCTCTCTAGGCATAAACACTCGTGATGATCACATTCTGTCTGGCAGTTTTCATCTTCAGTCACTCTGCTTATTTTTCGACTTACAGGAATTCTTCACAATATCTGGTCACTGAGCATTTTCTTTCTTGTTATTATACTCTGCTACTCTACTTTTAATGATTGAACAAACATGTTTCTCTGCTAAATATATAGGTATGTGAATGCATTTTCTGTTTGCCTTTGTCATTCTTCTCTGTATTTGAGTTTCAACATACATTATATTTTATCAGGAATAAACATGTGTATGTGTTAAGGTTTTAAAATATAAATATGCATGTTCTTTTATGGTTCTATAGTAGAAGTGGTGACCCATGATGAAAGAAAGCTGCTGAACACACCTGCATCCTTGAGATGTTCTCTGCAAACTTCCCAGGAAGCTTTGATTGTAACATGGCAGAAAAAGAAGGCTGTAAGTCCAGAAAACATGGTCACTTACAGCAAGAACCATGGGGTTGTGGTCCAGCCTGCCTATAAGGACAGGGTAAACATCACCGAGCTGGGACTCCGGAACTCAACCATCACCTTCTGGAACACAACAGTGGATGATGAGGGCTGTTACATGTGTCTCTTCAATATCTTTGGTTCTGGGAAGATCTCAGGAACAGCCTGCCTCACCCTCTATGGTGAGAATCTCTGGGAATACATTGTCCTTTTGGGGAAACATTCTTTCCAATAATGTTTGGAACAGGGTTGTTGCGCCTTGTTTTCAATTTTATAGTCACAGACACTTAGCCTTTCATGTATACCGTAGCTGTTAGTGTGATGCTTGGAGGGCTACCCTGAGTTCTTTGGCTGGAACTGCCTTTCCTTTGAGGATCCTACTGTCACCAAAATTGAAGACAAGGATGAGGGCAACATGTTCTCCCAAGCAGTGATTAGATTTTGACCTAGCTTTTGGACAATAAATATTCAATAGATTATCTCTAGAGACTTTTACAGTTTCTGAACCTAAGGACAGAAGCAGGTTAGGGTAGCCTGGAGCTAGGCATGATGACTTTCTTATTTTAGTTCAAGGTAGCTGTTTTAAAACTAATTAAGGGCACAGGCAATGGAGGCTTCTTATACTGAAATGATGCCAACTAGGGATATAACTAATATCAAGCATTCTTTAAAAATCTAGTAGACAGTGTGATGAGAATCCTTTCCTCTTTACTCTCTTTACTGGCACATGACTGAGATGAAGCATTCGGAAGTGGGATAACTTTGGAGTATCGCACATGGGGTAGTGATTTTATGAGGGAGACAACAGACCTGACAGAGTCATTACAAATGTTAGAGTGACATGTTAAACATGCTAAGAGAATTGGTATTGAGAAAACAGGAGATCCTATAATAAGAGAGCATGGAAGGTAAAAACAATTTCAGATCTATGATGAGTCTTCTCTCAGTACTATTGTCAGGCTTTCTCCTCAATTTCCACTTCTTTGTCTGTCTCTCTCTCTCTCTGTTTCTCTCCCTTCTTCCCATCATCCCTCCTTCCATCTTACCTTCTTTTCCTTCTCATTTCATATTTTCTCATTTCTGTGCCTTTTCTTTTTATCCTGCTCTGTCTCTTACTCATAGTCCTTGGTATTATTTTTTGCCTTAAAATCAAACTCTTCTGCTGGGTGTGGTGACACATGCCTTCAGTCCCAGCACATGGAGGCAGAGACAGTCTCTGTGAGTTCAAGGCCAGCCTGGTCTACATAATAAGTTCCAGGTCATCTGGGGCTACAGAGAGACCCTGTCTTAGAAAGACTATAAAAAAATAAAGAACAGACTCTTCTGAGTCTTCTAACTAGGAATCCTGTTCTTGCCCAAAATGAATAACCTATTCTAGCCATACCTTACAGCATCTAAGCCATTCCTTGATACTCGAGTGGACTGTGCTACCCAATCTAGCCTCATCAATCATAGTCATTTTTCTTCACTTTTATCTCCCCTAGAGCTAACTATATTTGGAATCTGGATGCCCTTCTAAAATCTCACTCCCATAGCCCTTGCCATCCACCCATCTTGTGAACCTAAAGGCACAGACCAGTTTTTGCTTAGCACTGCCTTCTAATTATCTTGTGGGTTCCAAAGCCAGCCACAAAAGAAATGGTTTATGATGCTTGACAGAGCTGAGCTCTACATTCCAAAAAAAGTGAAATCATTAGTTGGGGAACCTTTTCAAGAGAACAGGCTACAACTAGCCAGAAAATGAAATGCTTTTCTTCTATTTTCCCCCAAATCTGTCAGGTGATCTCTGAGATCCTTCCAAGTCATTCTTTGACTTTCCTAGTTATGGGCTCTAAGTTCCTACTTTGCATTTTGGGTAGGGCTTCTACCAAGGATTATTTTTTCTGAGTCTCCTATCAGTCTTATACACTGGTTCATCTTTATGTAGAAAATGGCTTTCTCTAACCAGCAGCTTCTTGGCAGGCTCTAGGAGCTGTGCCTGCAAGGTGATTTTGTTAGGCACAGCATACGCACATAGAGGTGCTGACTGGGAGACACTGTCAAGTGATTTTTTAAAAAAAATATCTAAAAGAAGGGTTGGTCACACAGGAAACACAGAATATTTAGACTTAGATTGTTCAAAAGTGAAGAATATAATTTAACTTGTAGATACCTCTGCTTATCCAATCAGTTTTGCCAGAGACAAACTATAGACAGAGCATTTCTCATGGAAGGTGGACAAGGCCACTCTCCAACTTGCAGAGAAAGAGACATAGGGAGAGCTGGGAAGGCTGGAGAGGAAATAGGATGTGCCATCTCACCTGACTAGCCCCTACTGTCTTCTGTAAGGCTCTATCCCTCATCTCTGGGAGAGAATATAGAGCTCTGGCTAGGTGCTTAACTGATGGCAGGCCATATGCTTTTTCTTTTGTCCCAGTACAGCCCATAGTATTCCTTCACTACAACTATTTTGAAGACCACCTAAATATCACTTGTTCTGCCACTGCTCGCCCAGCCCCTGCCATCTCCTGGAAGGGCACTGGGACAGGAATTGAGAATAGTACTGAGAGCCAGTCACACTCAAATGGAACCACATCTGTGACCAGCATCCTCCGGGTCAAAGACCCCAAGAATCAGGTGGGGAAGGAAGTGATCTGCCAGGTGTTGTACCTGGGGACTGTCATTGACTACAAGCAATCTCTGGACAAAGGTAAGAAAAGGTGGGCAAAGGTGGCTGTGGTTGCTTCTGTGTTTACACCTGGAAAATGGTAACGTTTTTTAGAGACTTTCAGCTACTCAGCAAAGGCCATAATTAGGGAGAGAATGGTGCATGTATAGAAAGAGAAACAGCTGAAGGAGCAAATGAAACAGGTTTTGCTGTAGTATCCCTTATCCACAGAGGTAATATTCTAAGACCTATAGTAGATACATGAAACTGCAAAGAATATTGAACAATAATATTTTCACAAATACATGCACACATATGCACTTATAATCAAGTTGAATTTCTAAGTTAGGTATGGTAAGATGGTAACAGCAAACACAAATCAAGAAAATACAATCACAGCATTATACTTTAATAAACATTTTCTGCTCTGGAGTCATTTTAAGCAAAAAGAAAAGATTGAACACAAGTGTGTGGTGCTAGAACAGTTGATCTGATAATCAAGTCAGCTACTCCATAACAGACAGGATAGCATATACAATGTGGATACACTGAACAAAGGGGCATTCACATCCTAGGCAGGGTGGAATGGGGTAGCGTGAGATGTTACCACACTACTCAGAACAGCACATTAGTTAACATTTATGAATTATTTATTTCTGAAAATGTTTTTTAATATTTTTGGACTATAGAATGGGTAACTGAAGTCCTGGAAAGTAAAATTGCAGAAAGGGAGAACTAAGGTATTTTCGTAGATGGGAAACAGCACATACCAAATACGGTGGCTGATATCCAGCAACATTTGTTCATTTCATTGTGCTAAGATTTACTGCTTAGTGTCTATTGTGCGTCAGTCTTTGGATTAATCACAGAATGGTACAGTTGTGAGCAATACTCAGTCCTTACACTCAGAGGACTTCTAGTGAACTAAGGAATATAGAAGAGTATCTAGTAGTCCTGGTAGATCATCTTAGATCTTTAATCCCAGTACTCAGGAATTTGAGACATAGGGGATTCAAAGCCAACCTAGGCTACATGGTGACAGGCTGCCAGAGAGAGGGGAGAGAAAGAAAGGAAGGGGACAGAGAGGGAGATATGGAAAAAAGAAGAGAAAGAAGAGAGAGACAGAGACAGAAAGAGAGAGAAAAGGAACTAAAATGTTGTTTGGGCAGTCACAGAACTGTACATACAATGCTCCAGTAAGAAAGCCATAGCACACCATGAAAGTACTGGAGGTGGAGAGTATAAGGCTCACTCATTTGTGGGGATTAGAAAGGTTTCCTAAAAGTCCTGGCTTTTGTAGTGAAGTGCCTGGATAGTCTTCATGGGCAAAAGGCCCATCTGAAGGGTCATCACTCTTTTAATAAAAGACAGGCTGCTTCCCATTCCTGTTTCCCTCTAGACTCTCTGGTGTTTCCTTTTCCAGCCTTTCTCTGGGACTCATACATAGAAGATGTGAGAATAATGTGTGAGTGAATAAAGAGCTTGGTTCCGGAGATTTCTGTTTTCCTAGAACTCTGCAGTTTTGGAGTACTGACTATGGATGTGGCACTCCGAAATAAGCGACCTAAAACTATTGCAGCTATTTCACTGCTATTTCAGGACATGTTTTAAGCAAGAAAACCTGGACAAGCCTTCAGTGTCACCTCATTGTGCAGTGGCCTCCAGGAAACATCTCCTAAGGGTGTGCCTGGGCTCCCAGAAAACTCACACTAATCAGAAATTGCTTATTTAGGTAAATTTGGCAGAAAAGCCTTGTGGCTGTCTTCAGACTTTTGTGAAGAGAGCCTCAGATTCAGCCAAGGCAAAAAAAAACATCCTTGAAAAACAAGAACTCAAAAAGAAACTTAAATTCTTTTCCAGGACTGCTAAATTTGGCTTGCATGATGCAGAATGCTTAATATAATTTGCATTACTTTTGTTTATGAACACTTACGAATGCTAAAAGCATCCTGTGAAGTTCTGAAACTACAGAAATGAGACAAGCCTGAGGCCTCTCAGTAAAATATGACATGTAGATTCTGTTACAGAGAAGGTGCTGGACTCTTCCTTTACCTTTGTGCTACAAAGAGATGCCAAGGAGTTGGTATTGTATCATCACTCCTGAAAAGAGATTTAATGACAAGACATAGATTCGAAGAAACACAGATAAAAACATTGAAATGGTTTGTTTAGCCTGGTTGAGATCACGGGATTCATGGATTTTTTTATTGTAATTTTTTAGAATAAACGTGTTACTTTAATGTACATTATGGCAAGGAATGCATACTTTGGAGGCAAAAAGACTTGACCAAGCCTTTGCACTTGCATTTTCTATTCTGATTTTGAGCTCTCTTAACTCCCCTATTTCTCAGTCATGTTTTTTTTTTAATCTGCTAGATATTAATAACATTAATAATGCCTGGAATTTTTGAGGAATAAATGAGGGGACATGTGCAAAGACCTTATTATGTATAACTGCATGAAATATGTTGGCTATGACTAAAATCTAAATGTTACTCAAATCCTATGAACTCTTGACTATAGATCTAACTAGGTACATATTTGAGGTTAATGTTAATGAAAGCTTGGTTGTCATAAAACTTCATCGTAATTGCTGCTTTATCCATTTTTGCCTTCGTAGCCTCCTCTTTTGACTCCTTTTCCTTCTCCTTCCACAGGATTTTGGTTTTCAGTTCCACTGTTGTTAAGCATTGTTTCCCTGGTAATTCTTCTGGTCTTAATTTCCATCTTATTATACTGGAAACGTCACCGGAATCAGGAGCGAGGTGAGTCATCACAGGGGATGCAAAGAATGAAATAAGGTAAATATTTTTAAATACTATTTGGGGGGTTATTCGAATGTATAAACAAGAGGAGAGCCACAGTGTTATGTTTACTGTTTCTAAAATATGTAAATGTTGATGCTATTTTCAGAGCTTCAGGGTTACTTTCTTGCAATTTGACATTTCTGCTTTTTGTTTTCTAAGATATTTTGAAGGTTGGTTATTTTCTAAGTGCAGAGAAGGGGTTCCTGAGAGGAAAATAGGAAAGTTGATATTGTATCACAGTGGAATCAGTTGATGGAAAAACCAAAGAAATCTGGCGCCAATGCAGGGTCCTCTCCACCCATTAACAAGGCCAATTTTTTCTCTTTTTACAGCAATCCACAAGCCAGCTGTCCATTTAAGAGACTGTGACATTGTTCAATACGATCATTCATTAAATAACACTTCCTATGTTACACTCCCATGATGCCTCACACACTATCGACAGCATACAGGTGATCCATAAGTACAGTCATTGTGTCATGTCATTCTGCCCTCCAGGCTGGAAACTTCTCTTTATCCCCCACAATATTTATCACAACAGCTCTGTATATACCAGGTGCTCAATAAATGCAAAGTTCTTAAATGAGTGAATGAGTGAGTGAGTGAGTGAATGAATGGAGCATGAATAGATTTTCAAGGTGATTTCCCCAGTCCCCTTTCTCTAATTGTGAATGAAAAATCTAAGGTAGTGGACATCAGAAAGCAAGAGTTGCCACAAAAACATGAGAAGTGAGCTCTATTTCGAGAAAGAATTGATTTTCTTTGGTTTCTGAAGACTGTGCACAACCCAGTGAACACAAAGCTGCAAATTTGTGTTGTGAAATGGGAATTCCCTAGGGTGAAGAGATAATGGGAGTTTCCTCATCTCAGATGATTGAACTCCAGGGGTCAGGGAAGAAAAAATTGTTGGTTTCGAGGCTATTTTAGAATTTGATTTAAAATCTCCCTCAAACTTTACCTTATTTTCCTTTATGCTTTGTAGACTGTTTTCATGTTTTAGAATTTTTCAATCCCCTTATCTTGCCTAAACCTTAAATAAACACTAGATTAATTTATGTTAATATACAAAATAAGCAAAGACCTGCAAAGTCAGTGACCCTTTATAAAAAGTAGATGGAAAGGTTTGTTCTGTCTGAGAGATTATAAATGAGATAGTCTTATGGCATATAAACATAAGCCTGTAGAACTCAGCTGCCCTCCACAGAATATCAAAGGCAGAAATTTCTTTGATTCTATTTTATCCAAACATATCACTTTTTCAATTAGAAAATTGGAGCCTAGAGAGGGAAGTCAGCTTCTTTCCCTAAGGTCATAGAGCTTTTTGTAAGCAGGCTAGAACCAGAATATCCTGACCTCTCTCATAATGTTCTTTTAGTGATTACTGATGTCCAAGAGTTCTGACCTGAACGGAGCTATTGTTATTCATTGTATCCATTTTAAACTGGTCTTTGGAAAGTGCAAACAGAAAGGTATAAAGTACTTAAATTCATTTTTAAAAGTTCCTCTTGGACAAGAGTCATATCTATTTAAACCCAAGATAAATTTCACTAGACAGGAATATTTGCAAAGTAATAGTCCTTTGTTCATTCAGCAAGCTTTAGATTTTCTGGGAAATAGAATTGTTAAATGCCTTAACCAGTTATTGAAGCCAGTATAGTTCTGTGCCCAAGTTTTTCCTCATGTACAAAATAAATGATCCAGCTTATACTGAATCTTGTAACCACTCGAATTACCATTTGTTGGTGAATGTCTTTCTGATATATGGCCAATTCAGTCAATTTCTCTGAATTTTTGTATTTTGAATGAGTTAACTTTTGACTGATTTCAAAAATGGAATAGCCAGATTCCGTAAACTTAGAGCTGGTAAACCCAACTGTTGATTACTATAAAAGTTCAAACGCTCAGAGTCAATGAAATACTGGTTCTTGAAGAACGAAACCTTAAGCGATGCAGAAAATGGCAAAAAAAGAGAAGAAAGTCATAGAATATAGTAACACTTTGAATCTTTTCATTAACAGATTCTGATGGTTAGTTTGTGAGGAAGGGCATAGCTCTATATTTGCCTTCCAATTTTTTCTTGCCTTTACTTCTCTCTTTTTTTAACTTTTCTTTCAATCAATTTTTTGAAATCATAAAAAATTTGGATAGGTAAGGAGGTGTGATCAGGTAAAACCAACATTAGGGGGTTTGAGCCCGGTGATCTGAAATATTCTGTAAACATGCATGAAGTGAGAAAGTAAAACTATTTTCACTAATATTGACTGTATTAGATCTAATTTATTACAAAAACGATTACTGGTTTTGTGTGTTTCTGTGTGTGTATTTATGTGTATGTACATGTGTGCATGCATGCAGGCACGCAATGTTGATCTAGGTTCAGTGGATAAAAACCCAGTACAAATTACAAAATGTGTTCTGGCTCATGTAAAAAGGGACTCTCTTGCGTGTGTGTGTGTGTGTGTGTGTGTGTGTGTGTGTGTGTGTTCTGTTTGCCCTGAGATAAAGAGAAAGGTGAACAGGTGCCTGCACTTACTGAATCTAATTAGACTCATCTTCATGGAGCTGTTCAGCAGCCAGTAAGAAAAATATGTTAATTCAGACCAACTTTTTGTTTGATATATAACCAAAACAAATTTATTTTAGATCATAATCACAATTCACTGCCCAGAAAAGTGTAGACAAATTTAGTTTCTGCCCAGAGAGGCAATTTCTAATGATTGGTGTTATCTTTGCTTAAAAGTCAGCCTCTTGGTATTTTCCTCATAATCCTGTTTAGTTTCAGAGAGCATCATGGTGCTTTTTTCTTCTGGAAAGCTGCACTCTGAAGGAAGCTATGAGGAGTCAATAGGCTATTTCTCTATCTCTTTTCTAACGGGACCATCACAGTGATCCCTGGAGTCTATTCCAGTGAGACCAAGAAGCTTTTAAAGAATATGGTTATTTTTTTTCTTATCTAATATAGATATAGTACTGGAATAGAAAGCGAGAAATAGTTAAAAATTTCCTAGGGAAATTATCTACCATCTTATAATTGTTCTTTCAATTAAAACTCAGTGATGTCATAAATTCGTATCTTCTCCATATAGGATATTGAAGGGAAATTTGAAATTGAGAATCAGTTTTTATTTCTCAGCAGCCAGTCCACCATATGTTTCTCAGAAACAGTGAACAAAGCTTTGGTTCAGCTTTGGGAGTAGAACACTACATGCAATCACCTCATTTTTAGAACTCTTTATTTTTAATAGTTATTTTCTTTCCTTTAGTTTGATTGAGTCAAACTGGGTTAGAAACAAAGAAAAATAGACACTCATGTGAAATGCATGTTCTAAACACTTTCTTCAAGTACTAGCTACTTCATACAAAAATACATACTTTTGGTCACATAGTACTTAGATTTATCTTGACTTACTTCACTTTCCAGTAACTTGAGCTGTGAGTGGGCTCTTGGCAATGGATATTAGCCATGTTACTAATTTACTGTTTCCTGGGTGCGAGTATTCACTGCTTCCTATTAAGCTTAGTACTGTGTTAGGCAACAAAGATATTCAGCAAGCAATTTGTGATGACAAAATTAGTCATTAGTTGGAAGGATAATCCAAAGAACATTTATTACTAAAGCAATAAGAATCTTTCCACTGTTAAATAATTATACTTATGCTTCCCAGATTAAAAGGCTAGGTGAGCGGTAATCCCTACCATCTGGCATCCTCATAGTTCCCGGAAGGAATGTGATCTCTATATGAGCACAGCCATGGGGAACCTTCATTAAATCACTCAGATTAGCATTTATGGGTGAAATCTTGCACCCTAAGACTCTGACAAAAAATTATAATTTTACTTTTTTTCCCCATGTATACAAATATCACTCATCATGCCAAAATGGCATGGCCTAATCTGATCACAATTTTTTTGTAACCAGAATCTAAAACCCTGGATATTCTTACACAGAGCTATTCTTTGCTTTTCTCCAAATTTTGAAGCACCATAAAACCATATTGGCTTATGTGACCCAAATTTTGAGTTTTAGACTATGGCAATAGCATCTCTAGGAGTCAAGACATCTTAATCTTCTACACTGCAATTAAACAGCAATTTAGTTCTCAAATGAACACTCACCTCCTTGACAGTTTGGCCATGGGTATGTTTTTAAGTGGATCACCTATCTATATTAGTGTCACTTGTTAGACAAATTAATAAAATAACAAGAAGGATTAGGAAATCTTCTAGCTGAGTAATGTAATATCTTCATTGTTTTTGAATGATAGCTTCTATTCTTTACCTAGCATCTATTATAGATCACTTTGTTTGGAATTTTCATGCCCTTCTTTGATATAACCCACACTATTAAACTTGGCTCTGAATAGATCCAAGATTTTAGCCCTCATTACCAGAGAACCCAATGGTATGTTATTTAAATTGGAAAGATTGGGTTACTTTATAAAAATACTCAAACGGCTTAACTGAAGAGGAAACAAATGCAGTGTTTTCTGTTGTTTCTTTATCAAATTATCACAAACATAGTGGCTTACAACACAAATTAATTGCCTTACAGTTCTGAAGGTCAGAAATGCAACAGAGGTATCACTAAGCTAAATCCAAGGTATCTACAGGGATATCTTCCTTTCTAGAAGCTCTCAGAGAGAATCTTTTTTCTATTTTATCCAGCTTCTATAGCTTTTGCATTCCTGGCTTTCTCATGCAAGCCCCATCTCCTCTCCTTCCAACAAAGCAAGACTGTTTTTCAACATGTTTCAAGATCATATTTTGTGCCTCATGTCTTTAACCTAGCGTCACTTCTGCTTTCTGTCTTTCACTAATCCTCACTAACTGTGACATTATAGAAACTGGTTCTTCTAACTGGAACTTCAGCATCTGTGTATTTCCTCCTTTTCTCTACTCACTGCCCCCCCACACACAGTGGCAAGTAATGCTTATGCCCTTTAATATCTTAGTCATAGGTAAGTTCATTGGGGTTCTCTGTAATGTGAGGTAAACATTTATACTTAGCAAGGTACATGTGATTTTAGATATGACCAAACTGGTCTTTCCATTGATCATGACTTAGTAAAACACAGATTTCTAAGTAGGCATGATGGTACATGTCTGTAATCTCAACATTTAGGAGACTGAAACAAGAGGATTTCAAGATTGAGGTCAATGTGGGCTATACAGTAAGAACCTGTTTCAAAACAACAAAACAAAACTGGCAAATTCTATTGAGTCTCTAATATTGACAGAATCGTATTGTGAGGTCATTATAGATTTATATTGTCCATATCACTGTTAGAATTCTTTAAAATACCTTCTAATAAACCTAAATTGATTTCAATACCATATATACAGTAAACCAGTTCTAAAAAAAAAAAAACTAAGCAGGGCATGGTGGCACACGCCTTTAATCTCAGCACTCGGGAGGCAGAGTCAGGCAGATCTCTGTGTGTTCAAGGCCAGCCTGGACTACAAAGTGAGTTCCAGGTCAGCTGTGGCTGCAGGGAGACCCCGTCTCAAAAAGACAAAAAAAAAAAAAAAAAAAAAAAAAAAAAAAAATCTAGAACTAATATATGTCACACATAGACACAAGATTAAATTCATTAGAAAGAAATAAATTTTCATGGTATTTGGTACAGTTTACAACTTCAATGTCAAGTCATCTATTTCATGAAAGAAAATTATAGAAGAGAGTACTACAGTAAAGTCTGTTGTACTTCTTACTAGACACAATTCACCATAACTGGAATGCTCCTGGTTCTAAGAGTATCTGTGGTCACTGGCTTGTAAAAGTTCCAATTTTTTCCATATTGATAAAATAAAGAGAAAGGATTAGCCCTGTATTTTGTAAGTCCTTTAAATATGATGTCTTATCAAATATGATTGGATCTTCTAATCTTTAAAAACCTACGTATAAATAGTTTCAATTTGATTATTTTTATCACTTTTTAAATTGACAAAATTGTATCAATAGCATATAACACAATGCTTCAATATATTATAAATTGTGGAATGGCTAAATAGAGCTAAGGAATATCACTGCCTTATTATACTTTAAAAAATTTTTATAGTGAGAACACTTAAAGCCTGTGGTCTCCACAATTTTCAAGTGTCGAATACTTTGTAACTAAAGTCCCATGTGATACAATAGGTCTCTGGAACTCATTGCCTCTGTCTGATTAAAATCCTTTTCCTCTTAACCAGTGCTGTTTGAAATAATTGAGAAGTTAAACACAGTGCTTTATTTCTATAATAATATTTCTGTCTTCAAGATTTTAACATTTTCGCTGTCTATTTTAGCAAGAGATTATAAATGACATAGAGAATTGGTTGTTTTCTGATCAGTCATTACTTTTCTTTGCTACTATGACCAGTTACTCAGTGATTCTGATAAAATCCTGTTTCTTAAAAAAGAATTACCTACTTTTGCACAAGCCATTTAGCTTCCCCACGCTGCCTTTTCTGCATTGGGAAAATAGAGATAACAATTATAAGAATGTTGTGAAGATTTTGAAAGGAATGTATGTAATTAGAAAAGTGCTTAAAGCAAGCACTAACTAGCTTAGGGGAAAGCTAGTAAAGTTGCTCTTACCAAATTCTTTAGTACAAATATTCCCATCATGGCTAATTTTAAGCTACCAGCAATTTAAATACTGGCTTGAGTCAGTAAAGCTCCATTCACGTCAATGTGGCATAGTAAGTTTCCAATAAATGCTATTTGCTACTTTCTGTTATTACTAAATCTATGGTCCCTTTTAGTTTTATCAATGTGTACTTTTATGAATCGTACAAATAATGAAAGGGAGGAGGGTTTAAGGAGGTGAATCCAAAGAAAGACATGAGGATGCTAGCAAACATGTTTTGAGGAAGTGGAATTCAGAGACTGAATTTGAACATGGGAACAAGAGTATTTGGAAGGGAGAACATGTAGTAATTTCATAGGCAGTTTTGAGAAAAGTTTGGATTCAAGATAAGCTGAGAGGGAGAGACAGGATCAGAAAGGATATATAACAAAAGTGTGTGATGCCTAAGATTGATTTCTTGACATTTCTAATGTAATTTGTTTCATTTTGAAGAAGTGGTATTATTTTGATTAAATCTTTTTTCTGATAGGATGATAGAAATATTAGTTATTTACTAAAGAACTAATAAGGAAACGATAAACAACAGGTGTCAGAAAAAACAGCTGGCTGAAATTTGCCCTAGATCTAAAGCTGCCCACACTGCCCAGCAGCCCTGATTCATGGTTTCCTTTCCAACGTCTCCTGACTTTACCATGACTCAGCTGTCCTCTGTGTCCACTGAATTATCTCGTCTTCTCTATGCTATGTGTCAAACATATTTCATACTTCCTGTTCCTCATGACAGTATTCACTGATGACCTAATAAAAAAACAAAAGGGGTATTCCTGAACTGTCTAAGAAGAGAATCAGAGTTTCTAGGTGTACTGGGGGTGTTTACAAATCAGGCATTACTTCAAATGACTCAGATAGTCCTTAGGCACCCCTAAGTTCAAAAGCATCCTGAAAGTTTCTTCTTCATTATGAACCACAAGTACAACACAGCCTGTGTGTGTGTGTGTGTGTGTGTGTGTGTGTGTGTGTGTGTGTGTGTTGGGGGGGACAGTGAATGAATATATTTGATATAGAAACTATTTAGAGAAATAGTTTTTTAACCCCAAAATAAAATTAAGCATCAAACATTCAAAATCAGGGTTAAGAGATTTAGGAAACAAAAACAAAACCATTCTCATATTCTGTAACTAAAGTCATGTTGTCATTGAATTCCAAAAGTAAATTGGATTTATTGGATTCCATAAATAAAGTTCCAAAGAAAAGTATAAATTCAGTTTTTGCTAATTGATCTTACAAAAGAAATCGTCTTATCACTTGGGCAAAATGCTTTGATTTCAGAGGAATTTTGGAAGTGAGGCCATGACTGGAGACGAAAGGAGAATGCACAGAGTCTTCTGGAATATTTAAGGGGATATTCTTAGGATCAAATAACTAGACTTTCTACATGAAGCCATGCCACTTAATTCTTATGACAGTCTATGAGAAAGATGATGTTATTTCTACTCCATAGATAATGAAACCAAGGCTTATAGGAGTTACATTTACTCATTAACTCATTTTACAAATGTGTATTAAGGTTTTTCCTGTGCATTCTAATTAGCATGGGTTATATTATAGGGACTAAAACAGGACATTGTTAGTTCACCATAAATGAGCTAACAGATAAGGACATACTGTTGAAACATAAAACGTGTCTGTAAGGAACTCATATATAGTATAAGATGAAAGAGAGGAACATAAAGAGGAAGCTATTTATAATAAATAGTCTGAGGAGGGCTTTTCTGAGGTAGTGATGTTAAGAACCTGAAAAGACAAGTCAGCCATGGAGGAGAAAAGGGAGAGTTGGCTTTTAGCAAAAAGAATTAGAAATGGGAACTCTGAAAGGTGGAAAAATCACAAAGATTTTAGACTAATGCTACCTGAAATATGGTCTGAAGAGGGTTACCCATCCAAAAATTATCTTATTAATCCAAAGCAAGATAGGTGTTTGTTGGACCTAAATAGATATGGTGATAGCAACTTGACAGAGTACTTTCATGTCTGTTGAATCTAATGATTTTAAAATGAATTATTGTGTATATGTCTGCTATATATTTAGTTTTTCAAATAATTCGTTTGTATTATTATTTTTTAAAGCATTGAACCGTGTTATGGGGGAAGGTAGTGCTTCCATGGACCACTGATTACTGATGTTAAAAACATTGGCATCTAAGCCAGGCTTGGTGGCACATGCATTTAATCCCAGCACTGGGGAGGCAGAGGCAGGTGGATCTCTGTGAGTTCAAGGCCAGCCTGGTTTACATAGTGAAATCCAGGCCAGCTGGGGCTACAGAGAAACCCTGTCTCAAAAAAAAAAAATGTTGGCAACTAAAATAATGCGAAAATTTGGAAGTCCAATAAAGCATTACTTAAGATCACACAG